CGTAGCACTTTTCTTCAAGAATCTGATAAGATTTTGCTTGAGGCAGATCAAAAAACTTAAATTCGATCGAATAGCTTTCTACTTTCACAATACACGGTCTCGTCAAGGTGCGTCTTTGACCTCGCAGTCTTGGATCGTGAATTCTCTTTTTATGCTGTTTGCCTATTTTGAAATCTCTGTAAATGAAAACTAAAGGGGTTGATATGTGCGAGTTAATGACGCGCCTTATCAACACATTGTGTTGGAGTTCACTGCTTGTTTTTTTTTAAATTTGCCTGTCACCAAGAGGAAAAATCAAGGAATTTTTTAGGAATTGACGTTGAGCCGTTCTCCATTTAAAAACTAAAATATGACAGGAAGTCTGCAACGTCGCAAACCGAAATACGTGGTTCGGGAGTTTTCAGTCGACTAGTAGTCTGACTCAGGGAGCCGCGTAACCTGCTGCTCACCTCTGGGGCTCTGGGTCGCAGTTCGCCTTAACCCCAAGCAATTATTCAAACTCCTCGGAGATCAAATTGCATACCCAACGAATTTAAGGCGATTTAAACGAGCTCGATTACGCATGATCCTGTAGTTTTAGAGGTTTGCATGAAAATGCTAATAGGTTGTTTCAAACTCGAGCAACTTTTTCAACTTCTCGCTCTAAAAATAATTGTAAAAAATTGTAGGATCAAATAATTATTTTGCTGTTTTCTTATTCGCAATTTTTCAACAAAACAAGAGAAGGATTATAATAATAATAAAAAAAAAAAAAAATACGATGGCGGACCCCCTTATAATGAATTGTTATGGTGAGGGGGGGGGATCATTGAGATTCTTATGTTTTCCTCCATTCATCTCGCCTCGCAACAGTAGCGCCATTTCACCAAAACCTTGGGGGGAGGGGGTGACCTGACATGACCTTGAATATTATAATACATAAATGAAGACACGAATACCTACATACATGAATTGCTTGATGAGGGCATATGACATGAACTTAATTGAAGTTAATTTTATGATCATTAATTTAACTAACGTAACTTATAAAAATAGGTGAGTGATGAAATGACCTGATAAGATTTTTTAAACATCAAATTTTCAGCGGTCCGATCGATTCTCTTTGGTATTTTGTCGAAGCCTTCTGAAACGCAGGGGGAGGCAATTGCCCCCCCCCCCCCATGATGTCATCCTCGCAACGGCCCTGCGATAGTTCATGGGTTATCAAAATCAATATATTTTGCATTTAATCATTCAGGCTCTTGGTATGTACGTGAGATGAATTGCCGGACACCTGACAGCTATGAATTAAAAAGGCTATTTTTTTTTCCATTTGATGGGCTTAGAGGACAAGGCGCAAGTGCACTAAGTGCAGCTTCTAAAAAAATTGAGGAACTGATCTTAATGCATATTCTTTGAAAAATTCGCTGCCAAATTCCAATTTTTGAGCATCAAAAAGTCAGTTTGAACTTTCCTCCCGCCATAAGGATCCATGTGATTTCGAAACTTCAAACACGTATTCCTCGAAATAGCAAAAACTGCGCTCATGCGCTTTATCCTCCAAGCCAAGCTCCTCATTTCAGGGGCACGGCCAAGTTTAGTGGACGCTCCGCAGAGTTAGGGCTCTGCCACTTTGTACGTACCTCAAAACTGGCGCTCTTTGTTGTTCAAAATGGGGAACACTTGGTAATACAAAAAGCACGTTTATATTGTTCAATCGAATAAAGCATAACTAAGTAAAAAGCGGATTTTGCACACACGAGTTTATCCACACCACAAGGCTGTTTGTTACCGATTCTCTCTGCAAGCACAATTTTCAAAAAAATTTAATCTTCATCTGCCAGTTCCAATTGACGTTATGTGTCTCAAAGAAACAATAGCGGCGAGACATTCGATACTTTGATCGATCTTTTGATAATGAGAGCGAAGCAGGCTCTATACATCCGAAGACCGTGAGTCCATTTTCGGAGGAAGTCATTATGGCTTTCTTGCCCGGTAAGTATTTCTGAGAGGCATTGATTGCTGTGAGTACCTAGTAATATTATTATAACAATGTGTTGCAATTTAATCGAAAATAGTTTATTTGTGGGAATGGACTGCAATAAATTCGTTATATTATTGCAGTGCTCAAACACGCTTGCATTTTGCTTCTTTCACACCAGACTCTTAAAAGAGGGGGAAAATGGTTACTCTATACCCTCGATGGAACAAACTGGGTAGAAAAGGGAGAGAAAAAAAGTGCTCCTAGAAATTTACTAAAATGGTTATAAGACAGAACTATAAGACCAAAGTTCACGAAAGCAACGGTGACTCAACACCGCAGAAATAAATACCTAGCCCATATACTTAAATGAAATTACGCTGAGAGAGATATTATTCGTCAATTTTCAACCTTTAAATGATGCACATATTGTAAGCTAAGACTTTTTAAAATTCAGTCATAGAGGGCTTATTTTTTCAAAATTTTCCGGGGGAGGCCCCCGTTCCCCCTTCCGGGGGGGGGGGGGGGG